CAGTGATGTGCCAGGCAACATCTCTCACAGGGACTCTCAGCATGTTCTAGGCAAAGGTACCACTTTTCCTCATATCTCTGAATTTCTACGCCTTTGTTTGTTTGGCTTTTTGGGTCACACCCGGCAATGCTCAGGGGTTACTCCTGGATCTGCATTCAGGATTTTCTCCTGGCAGTGCTTAGGGGAACCATACGGGATGCTGGGGATGGAACCCAGATAGGAAAATGCTCTACCGGCTGTACTATTACTCTGGTCCCTGATTATTTCTTTAAGGCAGAATGATCAACTGTATTAAAAAAAAAAAGTCAGCATTTTTATGAACCCCGCCCCCCCCCCTCCTGCGAGCTGTTTCCTAATCTCCCTCTTTTGCTGTGGTTTACAGTCTCCAGCTGTGTGTGGACCCAACTGGCTCCTGAGAAACATCAGGACAAGCCCTAAAGTCAACAGGCCTGTTTCCTTATCTCTGGAATCGCAAGCACAGGATCTCAAAGGAGCTTTTCCCACTAAAAAGTCATCTATACCTCATGGTATTTCACTAATAAAAATTAAAAAAAAAAAAAGTCATCTGGACACAGTCTCTGTCCTGAACTGGCTCCCCTCCTCTTCTCTGAGAACAAATAAAATACAGACAGGGCGTGGCCAATAGTCATGGCAGCCTAGTATCCATCCTATTTCTGACAACGTAGGGTGGTTTTGGGGCAGTGAGGGAACCTTCAACATGTGCCTCAAAATATTCAGGAATATGCCAATACCCACAATACTGACAGAAACATATACAGATCTTTTTGGAGTGAGGCATTTCCTTCATGTCTTTTACATAGATAGTGGGAGGGGGGGCGGGGGGGGGTTGCCTTTTATTCTGCTGTTTCCAGATTCAGAAAACAAGTTTACAAGCTTAAGGAAGCTGAAGCCTTAGTACAAAGGCAAAACAATGCTCTTGGTGTCTGGGCCTTTGTCTGGTTAAAAAAAAAAAAAAAAAAGGACAACAAATCACCAGAAGTGGACTCTTGGGCTTTTCTTGCTATGCTGTATGACATTTTTAGGTTATTATAAAGTTGTTTTCAAAGTTTGTCAACAATGGTTTATTATGAACTCTCAATGACAACCTCAACGGAAAATTCTTCTGCATACCGACCTGCAATCTGCACCTCCGTGTCCACCAGGGATGGGTTTGAGTTTCTGGAACACGAGACGGCACCCGTCTGACATTAATCCCGGAGTGGGCAGCCTTTTATTCCTGCCCTGTGTCCTGAGCCTGAGTTCATGGGGACAAATTCTGCCATTCCAGCCCACGGAAAGTCTTTTCAGATAACACTTCTGGAGAAGACGGTGGCACTTTCCCGGTACCTCCATAGACTGTTTGCAAGCAAATCCTTTTCTTCACTGGCCCCACTCACTCCCAACACTACTGTTTCACTTAGGATTCACGTCCCCATTCAACATTCTCCAACACAATCTGGCACGGAGGTTTGGAAGAGCAACTGCGGAGGATTGCATCTCACATCCATCACCGCCAGCTCATTGGCGGATCGATCCTTGCTCTCTTTACCATTAAATGAAACTACTGGGTCAGGGAAATGGCTCATGTTTTTGCCTGTGGGGCCCCTGGGTTCAGTCCCAGGTCCCCCAAGCACTGCCAGGAGCAACCTCCCAAGCACCAAGGGATAGTCCTTGAGCACCCGCAGGTGACCCCCCCAAAATAAACGAAATCTAAACGCACTGCCTCATATAAACAGTTGGGAGGATTAAATGACTGGGTGACTATGACGCCCTTGGCCCTGGGCCCAGAACAGCGCAACTGCTACTATCACTGTTACTACTATTTGCAACAGCTTCCCCGGGGCTCTGCAGTCACAAAGTTAACACCCTTCATTGGTCCGTCTTCCACACTCTACTTCTCGGCCACACTTTCTTGACAACACAACTCACATCCCGTGATAGAAAACCCAATCGCCGTAGCCTGAACAGTCTACCACCATTCCTCCACGTCTCTTTCCTCTAACCTAGGGGCGATGACTGTGTACCATGCTTGTCCGTTCTCCCCGAAGCATTTCCCCACAAGTTACCACACAACTTACCCCTTGACAACACAGGCCGGTGTGATGCCAACTCCTGGTTCAGTCTTAGGGTCAACCACAGCACACAGTGAAGCCATCAGTGATTGGAGGGGGGTGTCAGGCCTGTCCTCCCGCTCACCTCTGCCCGCTGGCCACAGCGCAGAAGGCCTGCACAGCCCGGATGCCTTCCCTCACGCTGCCTGTCACTAACTGTGCTTCCTTCCGTTCACCAGCTCCCAGCTGACAGTTACTCTCTGCCCAGAGAACTCTTCAAATCGGAAGAATGCAGGCTGCGGAGGGCTGACGTCCACCCCTTAGGTCTTGCAAGCCTGCTCCTTGCTGCCCCTGAGACTATGCTCATGCATTCCTCAGACGGGAGTGTCCACCTTCTCTCTGTCCTGGCCCTACCCCCCACGCTCACTCTATTTCTCAGAGCCCTGCTAAAGCACCTCCTGCCATTCGGGTGACCAGCCTGATGGAGAGAGGGAGGGAGAGAGAGAGAGAGAGAGAGAGAGAGAGAGAGAGAGAAAGGGGTGAGAGGGAGGGAAGGAGGGAGGGAGAGAGAGAGAGGGGGAGAGAGGGGGAAGTGAGAAAGGGAGGAAGAAAGAGGGAGGGAGGAAGAAAGAGAGGGAGGGAGGGAGGGAGGGAGGGAGGGAGGGGAAGAGAGGAGAGGGAGGGAGAGACACAGAGAGAGAGACAGAGAGAGAAGGGTGAGAGGGAGGGAAGGAGGGAGGGAGAGAGAGAGAGAAAGGGAAGAAGAGAGAGAAGGAGGGAAAGGGGGAGAAAGGGAGGAAGAGAGAGAAAGAGGGAGGAGGGAGGGAGGGGGAGAGAGAGAGAGAGAGAGAGAGAGAGAGAGAGATCCCAAATGCGCGTCTGTCTCCAGTAAATCACAAATCTCCAGAGAGGGACACTTTCTCTTCATCTTCACTGGGATTCCTAGTTAGGACCAAACGAAGCAATCAATAACTGATGAGCAATTAGTAGCCAACACCTTTCTCCTTTTATAGTGGATGTTTTTACTTCTTTTTCTTGCCTGACTGCTTCTGAGAGGCGTGGTAACAGTCAACTCTCTGAGGGCTTCCTCAGTGCCAGACTAGGCTGGGGAGTGCTTTGACACGTGTTAATTCAGTCCTTACAAGCAGCCCTGCCTGAGGGGCATGCTATTACCATTTTCACTTAATAAATGAGGAAAGAAGTGATGGAATTAGAATGCAAATTAAAATCCACGTTTGTGGGCCGGGGAGATGGTTCAAAGGGCTGGGGCACAAGCTGTACAGACAGGCAGGTTCCATCCACGGCACCACATGGACCCCCGAGCACTGAACTGGGAGTAGCCCACAGCGTCACTGGGTGTGACCAAAAACCAAGCCTGACCAAATGTAACAGCTATATTGTTGAATCCGAAAAGTGGGTTATTTGCTCTGGATCAACACACAAGGTAAAGCTATTTCCTACTGCCTGGAGGGGAAGAGGAACCAGAGCCAAGGCAGACAGGACAGATAACCAACCGGAACCCTGGGGAACACAGGAGCCTCAGGAAGGACTGTCAGACACCGGGGAGGCAGCAAACCTTAGGAGAGCCACAAGCCGGCAGCAGGCCTATAAGCGTTTCCCAGGACAGACAAGTCAGTGGCGCCCAGACAGAAACACGTGCAGGGACCAACTTCTGCTTGTTCCCAACAAGGGGGGACGCCTCTGCCTCACACACCTCTGCTCTGTACCCCAGGAGTGTGTGGCTAGACAGCCTGGGCAGGACAGGCCCCAGCCCCTCCTGGAATGGTGGGAACACCCCAGCCCCCAGCAAGCACTCGCACCAGAACCCTACAATAACACTTTCTAGCAGGCAGAGGGGACAGCCTGCTTCTAAGACCTGTTTGTGTTCCCTCAAGTCACAAGAATTCCACGGGCTCGGTGCCAGCATCCATGTGGGCCTTTCTGTCCACATCTGACACACAGCGATCTTGTACACAAGGCTCCCTAGACAGCCGGCTGGAGCCTGGACTCAAGGCAGAGCCGACAGGGCCCAAGCACTGGTGACCCCCCCCCCCAACCCCGACCCCACCCCGCACCTCAGACTGCAGAGGGCTCAGCCAAGAGGGACCCGGAGCCTGCCTGTTCTTCCTGCAGAAACTGGGCCCACTGGGGCTGGAGCGATAGCACAGCAGGTAGGGCGTTTGCCTTGCTTGCGGCTGACGGGGTTCAATTCCCAGCATCCCATATATCCCCCCGAGCACCGCCAGGAGTAACCCCATTGTGGGGTGTGACCCAAAAAGCAATTAAAAAAAAAGGGCCCATCCCCTCCACGTCATCTACACGTGGATGCTGACAAGCCCAAAGCTCCCAGTCACTGTCTGACCGCCCGTGGGGCATGGGGGTCTTCTCTTGCTCCGCCCCCTCACGCCCCCATCAAGGGTTCACTCTTGGGTTCCCATGGCCCTAACCACATCTCTCTTCCCCTCAACATGCATCTTTCAGAAGCACCAAAAGACAGATGGTCACTGACATGAAAAGCCCCAGGTGCTCACTGGTACCTACAAGGTCAAGCCCAACTCCTGCGGCCACCCACGCTGCCTTTAGGTTTGTTCCCCACAGTCCTCCTCCCTCCCAACCACAGGCCAGCCACAGCAGGCCTGCCGCCTTCTCTTGAACCCCAAACCCTTCCCTTACTGCAGCAGGCTCCTTTCTACATTATAGCCCTGCAGCTCTCAGCGGGGCCACATTTCCCCCAAGCAGGCATTCCCACGGCAGCTGCCACCACCTCCGCACAACTGAACAGCCATCCACCGTCGTGGCCTTCACCGTAGAACATCACCATCGGCGTCCTTCCTGTCAGCCCGTGAGCTCGCTCCTGAGTTCTGCCCACCACAGCCACACGATAGAACCTTCTAGAAACCCCTGCCCTCCCGTTCCTTTCCCTGACCGCCCACCCCGCGGGTGACTTACCGACGCAGTCACAGGTGGGGAACTCTGCCTGCGCCCTCTTGGCCGGCGTGTCCAGCAGACTCTTGGTGGGCGTGTCCAGGTACTTCAGAGGTGACTCCAGGAAGCCGCTGAGTGTGGGTGTGAGCGGGTTCTCGGCCTTGGTGGGGGTGGCCTCCTGGCCTCCCTCCTCGGAATGGAAGCAAGTCGTGGACAGCACAGTCACGGCCCCTGAAGACTCTATCTTGATTTGCTTAGGGGAGCGGGTAGCAAACGGGCTCTCGGGGGGCGGGAGACACGTTGGCTGACTCTCGGGGTCCTGAACGGGCACAGACGGGGGGCCGGGAAGCCCAAAGCTATCCCCAAATTCGGCCTCAAACTGCCGGATGAGCTCCTCCAGCTTGTCGTCGGCAGGGGGGAGGGGGCCGGCGGAGCCTGACTGCAGGGCGGCCATGGGGCTGGGGGACCTCATTTCCTGAGTAGGGGGCAGCAGGCTGTCCCCGGAGGGACTAGGTGCAAATAGCGCAAGAGAAGGTTCTGGGGGCAGGGGGAGAGAAGGGCCCTGGGAGGCGGGGAGGGGGGCAGGCAGAGGCGCCTGAGCATCATCGGAGACAGGGGGCCGCAGCCCCTCCAGGACGATCTGCCGCACGGGCAGGAAGAGGGGCTGGGCCTCCCGACCCCTCGACTTCTTGATCTGCACGGGCTTGCGGACGCTGGGCTTGAGCCCCGGGGCGGCCTTCTCGGTGGTGCCCACGGGGCCGCCGGCCGGGGCCAGGGGCTTTTTCTTCTTCTCCTTGGGGGGTCTGTCTGGAGGCCGCGGGGCAGGGGAGCTGGGGGGTGCCCACCAGGCGGGGGCGGGGGTGGGGGACTCTGTGGGCGTGGGGGGCGGGAAGGAGGTGTCATGGGCTTGCTCCAGGAAGAGGCTGCGCTTATGGTGCAGGTGCTGCTGCAGCGCCGTCTGGGCCTTCTGGTGGGCGCTGGGCTCCGGGCCGCCCGGGGGGGTCTCTCGCGGCGGTGGGAGAGGGGTGGGGGCCGGGGCTGGGGCCGGGGCCGGGGCTGGGGCCGGCGAGGAAGAGGGAGCCTCCACCTTGACCTTGGGCTTGGCGGGCAGGGCCTCGGGCCGCTTGAATACTGACTGGATGTAATCGCTGGCGCTGCCCAGCAACTGCTCCAGCTCGGCCATGGGGTCGGGGCTCGGGCGGGGCGTGGGCCAAGAGTTGCGGGGGGTTGCTGGTGGGGTGTCGGTGCCCCAAGAGTCAGAGAACTCCGTCCTCGGAGGTGCGGGCGGGAAAGCGGGGCTCTCAGGAGCGAAGGGCGGGTGCTCTTCGGGGGGGACCACTGGCCATGAGGGAGCCCGGAGGTAGGACTGGGGGTTTCGGAAAGGGGCGGCGGGAGGGGACAGGGCCTCGGGCAGGGGTCCCGGGGCCTGGGAGGTGGAGTGGGAAGGCTGGGGCAGGGCCGAGGAGAGCTGGGTGAGGGCCTCGATGGCGATGGCGGTCTGCAGGCTAATGTTCTTCTCCTTGGCGATGCTCAGGGCGCTCTGGGACAGGGGCAGCCCCTCTGGGGGAGGGACCTGGGGGGCGGCGTCGGCGCTGAGCAGGGGCCGGGGCTGGGGGCTGGGGGCCGGGAGGCCAGCCTCCGCCGGAGGGAGCGGCGCCGGGAGCCGGGGCCGCTCCTGGCCCCCCTCCACGACCACGGACTTGATCTTCCCCTCCAGCCACTCGAGGTAGTCGGGACACTCCGGGCCATCGCAGTTGCAGTTGGGGGGCTTCATGCCATGGCGTGCGAGGGCCAGCGCCGTCTGCAGCGTGTCCAGGTCTTCGCTGCCGGCAGAGCAGCCCCTGCCGCCGTTGCCAGCCTCGCGACTCATCTCACGGTTGAAGGTTTCATAGAGCCGGGTGCTAAGGGCCCCGTACGAGGACACCGCTTCGGCCACCGCCGAGAAGGCCACCAGGTCGTGGGCATCTTCCAGGCGAGCAGTGTGAGCTGGGCCCGGGGCAGCGTCCCAGCTGGGCTTCTGGTCTACTCGCCACGGACCCCCGGCGCCCAGCAGACTGGGTCCGGCAGGTTCTCTAGCACCATTGACGGGCGCCCCGGAGGCGCTCAGCTGCAGCGAGTCCCCATGGAACACTGGCCCTGAGTCCATCTGACCTGGAACAGGTCCATCGACCGGGCTGAGCTCTGCACCTGTCTGAAGAGAGCAGAGGGGGAGAAACCAAGATGAGCTGCGACGTTCCACGAAGGCCACACCCCACCACTTTGCATGGCTCAGACACAACCCCCCAGACACACCCTGCTTTCCTGGGGAGACCTCTGCCGGCAGCTCTGCCTCCGCTGACCTCCAGCCCCTCCTCTGGGTTGGCTCTCCCAGCAGAAGGCAAGCCTTGAAGAGAGCCTCACACATAATTCTGAATGCAGCTCTGACTTTTTTTTTTTTAATTTTTATTAGTGAAACACCATGAGGTACAGTTGTAGACTTAAAAATTTTTGTGCTTGGGCCTCTTTTGCAAACCACAACACCCAAAAGGAGAGAGAGAACAAAAAGGAATGCCCTGCCACAGAGGAAGGGTGGGATGAGGGGATGGCGGGTGGGAGGGATTCTGGGATCCGTGGTGGTGGCAAATGGGCACTGGTGGAGGGATGGGTATTTGATCATTGCATAATTGAAACTCAAGCACAAAAATCTGTAAGTCTACAACTGTACCTCATGGTGTTTCGCTAATAAAAACTAAAAAAAAAATTTTTTGTGCTTGGGTTTCAGTTATACAATGATCGAGTACCCATCCCTCCACCAGTGCCCATTCTCCAGTACCACTAATCCCAGTATATTTACATACAAGTGGCACTACATGGAAAGTATCATGCTAAGCTCCTACTTTCTTAAGGCCTCCATTGATCTCACTAGAAGGCAGTTACCTCAAAGGCAAGCATGTGTTAAAACCATGCAAAAAAAAAAAAGTCTTTCCGAGGTGAAGACCAAAAAGGGACACGAGGACCCTGGTGATTTCCTGTTGATTTTGTATTTTGTCTGGAGAAAAAGAGTGAGCCGGGCACAGGACCACGAAGCCAAGGGTCGTGCCCAGGCAGAAGCAGCCCTGTCCCTGCACAGGGGGATGGGGAGGAAGGGGTACGAGGCAGCAAGAGACAGCCAGAGTGGCAAAGAGGCAAGGCACACAGTTCTTCCTCACTGAAGCCCAGCCCAAGCTCCGGGAGCTGGCCACAACCTAATGCTCCCACTCTCAGCCCTAGGGACCAGTGACCACAACGATGAGCTCCGGGAACATGTTGATGCTGGCTCACACTGGAATGTGGCCTTAAAAAAACTTCATAGAGGAAAAAGAAAAATCTTTATGAAAATACCCTATGTTACAATATTATCAACGGGCACTGCGAGTTACAATACTATGGATGACAGTTCCACAATGCGTACACCATTCTGCCACCACACCCTCCACCAGAGTCCTCACTTCCCTCCATCAAGGTCCCAAGGCCCCTCCCATTCACCCCCCCACTCGCCCCCACCAGCTCAACTCTCCAGTTCCCTAGCCCCTAGCCATTTGTTGCTCCTTTATTATGTAGCTTTAAAGCCCCCATAGGAGGGAGATCACTCTGAGGCTACCCCTTCCCTTCTGACTCACTTCACTCAGCATGATTCTCTCCAGTTCCAGCCATGCAGCAGCAAATTGCATGATTTTTGTTCTTTCTTACAGAGGCACAATATTCCATTGTGTGTACATAAATATTGAATGGGGTTTAATTAACACAAATTGCAGCACTGGTGTCAGCGTTAACCCTGCACAAAGCTGGCTGCTCCAGTGACAAGAAGAGCTAGGTTTCCCCCCAAGCCCGAAGCAACCAACACTGACAGGGAGCACACAGTTGAGAGTGCGAGGGGTCCAGGGGTGACCGAGAGCAAACGGCCAGGAGGGTCCAGCTCAACACATCAAAAGCCAAAACGGCAATGTGAAACTGAGGTTGCAAAAGTTCATCCCACTAGAAAGGAACTACTTTCCTTACAGTCGAATACTGATAAAAAAAAAAAATAGAGAGCGGCTGGAGAGATAGTATAGCAGATAGGGCGCTTGCCTCCTAAGTGGCTGACCCGAGTTCGATTCCCAGCATCCTATAGGATCCCTGAGTCTGCCAGGAATAATTCCTAAGTGCAGAGTCCTGAAGTAACCCTGAGTATTGCTGGATGTGACCAACCCAAAGTACAAACCAACCAGCCATAATTTAAAACACACACACACACACACACACACACACACACACGTGTGTGTGTGTGTGTGTGGAGAGAGGGAGAGAGAGAGAGAGAGAGAGAGAGAGAGAGAGAGAGAGAGAGAGAGAGAGAGAGAGGAGGATCCAGGGTCAATATTCAGTAGTGGAACAAGTGCCTTGCATATGTAAGGTCTGGGATTTGATTCCTGCGGAGCTGGAGCGATAGCACAGCGGGTAGGGCGTTCGCCTTACAAGCGGCCAACATGGCCGACCCGAGTTCGATTCCTCCGCCCCTCTCGGAGAGCCCGGCAAGCTACCGAGAGTATTCGATATGCCAAACACAGTAACAACAAAGTCTCCAATGGAGACGTTACTGGGCCCGCTCGAGCAAATCGACGATCAACGGGAGGGCCTTTACCTTTACCTTACCTTACCAACAAAGTATATTAATTAAAATCATACAAGAAATGGGCCCAAAAGGAAGTACAATGGGTAGGGTGCTTGAAATGCATGCAGTTGACCCAGGTTTGACATCACCCCCGCCCCCAGCATCACATATGGCCCCCCAAGCTCCTCTAGGAATGATCCTGAAGTAGTACAAAGCCAGGAGTAATACCTGAGCACCACTAGGTATGGTCCCAAATCAACAAAACAAAAAGTTGATATGAAATGTTGGATTTTGAAAGTCAATGAATGAGGCATGGGATGGACACACAGGCAGGCAGGGACACACACACACACACACACACACACACACCTCAAAACTATCTGTAGCACTGTTGTTCATCGATTTGCTTGAGCGGGCACCTATAATGTCTCACAACAAATTGTGAGGCTTGTTGTTACTGTTTTTGGCATATCAAATATGTCACGGGGAGCTTGCCAGGCTTTGCCGTGCAGGCAAGATACTCTCGGTAGCTTGCTGGGCTCTCCGAAAGGGGCAAAGGAATCGAACCTGGATCGGCCACGTGCAAGGCAAATGCCCTACCCACTGTGCTATTGCTCCAAAGAATGTGAGTTATTGTTAAACTGATTAACGCCTCAAAACACTGTCTCGAAAATTACAATAGTGACTTTATAGTGGTGAGGTCTGGTGGACATTCTCTTAGCAATCATCGATGTCACCATCAATGTCAATCAGGACAAACCATCACGTGCCGCTTTATATATAGTAATACACCAAAACAACATGACATCACTCACTCAGGCCTTCAGCCAAAACGCAGCCTGAATCTAGTCTCGCAAGGAAAGATCAGATAGACCCAAACAAAAGGGCATGCTAGAAAGCACACCAATTATTTTCTTCAAAAATCTCAAAAACAGGGGTCAAGGAGATTAAGGCACTTGCATGTGGCTGACCCTGGTTTGATTCCCAGCACCACCTTTGATTCCCGAAGCACTGCCTGAAGTAATCCCTGAGCACAGAATCAAGAGTTAGCCCTGAGCACCCCTGGCTGTGAAAAACAAAAACATTCAAAGACATTTCTTATAGATTATAAGAAACTAGAGGTAGAAGAGCCAGCAAAACACACAAGTTATATCTCAGAATAGAGGAAAAGAGTGATAAAATACATCATTAATGAAATGTATTTACATGGACAGGCTGGAGCGATAGCACAGCGGTAGGGCGTTTGCCTTGCATGCAGCCAGCACAGCCAAGCTGGGTTCGATTCCTCCGCCCCTCTTGGAGAGTCTGGCAAGCTACCAAGAGCAATCTCACCCGCAAGGCAAAGCCTGGCAAGCTACCCGTGACATAATCGATATGCCAAACACAACAACAAGTCTCAAAATGGAGACGTTACTGGGCCCGCTCTTGCAAATCGATGAACAACTGGAGAACCGTGACCATTTATATGGACAAAGATGATGTCCCAAATCAACTTTCTTGACTTTGGTCAAGATACCTAAAGTTAGGACACACAAACAGTACAGTACTAAGGTAAAGGGACAAGGCATTTTCAACTTAACCTTAAGTGGTTCCGAAAAAAATGCATATAAAAATGCACATAGAAGAATATAAGGTAACAAAATAGGAGACTAACACCCAAGAATAGTCAAGATCAGTACCAGGAGGTTCACTCCATGGCTTGGAGGCCAGCCGCACATGCTAGGGGAAAAGGCAGCTTAGATAGAGAAGGGAGCACCAAGTAAAGGGTGTTGGGAGGATCCTCCAAGGATGGGAGATACATGCTGAAAGTAGACTATAAAAACGAACATGATTGCCACTCAATGCCTCTTTTGCAAACCACGCACCCAAAAGGGGAGAGAGAACAAAAGGGAATGCCCTGCCAAAGAGGCAGGGTGGGATGGCGGGTGGATGAGGGGTGGGAGGGATACTGGGAGCACTGGAGGTAGAGAATGGGCACTGGTGGAGGGATGGGTACTCGATCATTGTATAACTGAAACCCAAGCACAAAAATTTGTAAGTCTACAACTGTACCTCATGGTGTTTCACTAATAATTTTTTTAAATGCACATAGAATAAAAAAGATAATAAGGCAAAATGTAAATGATTTAGGTAGGGGAAGTTCCAGGTACCATTTTTGTAACTTTTCTATCAGCCTTAAAATTCCACAGAATTAAAAGCTGAGGTCCAGGGAGATGGCTCAAAGGGCTGGAGCACTTTGCATGTGGAAGCCCTGGGTTCAATCTCTGGCATCTCTTGAGCACTATCAGGAAAAACCCCAGAGCAGTCAGTCAGGAGTAGCCTTTGTGCACCACCAGGCACGGCTCAAAAACCAAAAAATAGTAAAAGTGTTTATAAATGAAAAGTTAAGAGGTGAGAGAGTGTTTTGCTGTTGTTGTTTGGGGGTCAAACCCTGCAGTGTTCCGGGGTCACTCCTGGCTCTGTGCTCGGGGGACCATACAGGATGCTGGGGATCAAACCCAGGTGAGCTGTGTGCAAGGCAAACGCCTTATCTGCTGTACTATCTCTCTGACTCCCAAGAATCAGCATTTTATTCTATTTTATTT